AAAAAAAAAAAAAAAAAAAAAAAAAAAAAAAAATGAACTGGACTTAAGTAGCAACAGAGAAAAAAAGCCGGCAATTCTAACAGTTAAAATTCAACAACTTTAACATCTGTTAAATTATGAGTAACAAATTTTTGTTCATTGTTCTTTCTCCCATCGTTTCCCTTCACTTCCATTCCCTTCCCTTCCCTTCCCTCAACGCCTCCACTTTCCCCATAAAGAAAGAAAAAAATCTCCTGCTGATCACAGCGTTTTTTTTTTTTCTATTGTCCACAAATTACTAATAATAGCAACTGGATAAAGGCACTGAATGCAACAACAAACTGGAGAAGTGAAAAATGAAACGGACAGGGAAAAAAGAATGTTGAAAGAATGCAGCATTAAAGTACAAGTTTTTTTTCCTTTTTGAAAATTTCCTACTATAACAGACAACAAACAATTCAAAAAAATAAGTCAAAAAAAAAATTGAAACGTAAAATACAAAAAAAAACGTCCAAATTCAATATTGTCTTTTTGCTTCTTCATCGGATCTTCAAAATCCGTCGAAGTTGTTGGTGTGAATGGCGAATGCCGCCGTAACAGATAGAAGTTATGTTTTCAGCTTCTATATAATTTGGTTATATATAATTTGTACATTACTATTCGCCACTGACTGTAACCATTTTACAATACAATTGCAAATTTTTTTTTCTTATTCAAAAATCCACTAAAAATTTAAAAAAAAAAATTTATACAAAAAAAAAAAAAAATAGGCGACAAATTATTTCAAAGTTCTTTAAAAAAAATTGTATCACACAAAAGAAATACTGCTCAATTAAATTAAATCTTTAAATTATCAGCTGTCTCTTAAAAATAACAAACTAAAAATAGAATTTTTTTTTGCTGTAAAAAAAAAAAGAATTGAACTGTTTATCAGATTTTAAATGTACATCAATTTGGTTTCTAACTGTATGTCGGTGTTTGTGCGTACGTATTTTCCATTCACCATTATCGTCATAAATTTTTTTTCTTGACATTACAATTTCTTCTTAAAATTGATTAAATCTTTTTCAAAAAAATGTTGCAAACCTTCGTTTTTATTTTTGTTTCATTTTTTTTAAGAGTTCATTGATCAACCAAAATATATGAAATAAGCAAAGACAAAAAAAAAAAGTAAGCGATAAGGAAAAAAGAACAAAGAAATAATAATTTAGTGGCAAAAAGCGAAAGGGAAAAAACAGAAACAATTTTCAAGCATAAAATTCAACCTTTTCAATGGGTTTTAAATCAGCTATCGGTTTCAGTGTATTCACATAATCATAAAGTAATACCACAACTCGTCTGATACTATCCATAAATTGATTACAATCGGCAAGTCCGCATGACCCATCGAAGTTCATCTGTAAGAAAAAACAGAAAAAAATAAGAAACTCTCTTTCAGCAGTCATTTTTGTGTTCATCTAAAAATTTTCTTGATTAAATTTACTGTACCAAAATTAACAGCCATCAATTTAGCCCCTTTGTAATTAGACCCGAAATTCAGATGAACAATACTGCAGG